AAAAAAAAAAAGAAATGAATTACAGGAACATTTTCAGTCTGTTTATATAAATACAAACCTAAATCACCCCAATTGCAGTCTCCTGTTCCACAGTACCTCCTCATCCTTCTTTCCTGCAGAAAGCAAAGGAAAAACTCTTCTCCCATTTTAACTACCACAGTGAACAGTAAAACAACTTTTGCCCCTCTACCCTGAAACTTTCCCACTCCTAACAGCTCAACTTCACTAGGACTCCTAAAACGCCAAGTTCTGGTAAAGAAAAATAATCCTTCAAAGATGTTATGGACCTAATGCTGCTCTTAAGATGGAGTCATCACCTACCAATTCAAACCTACCACACCCTTCTATGTAGCAGCAGCCTGACTGCTCAGAAATCCTACTTGTGTCTCCTAGGATCCAAAGTCTAAAACAAAAAGCCTTACCTCATGTGAACACTGAAAACAATATAGGGAAACTAGAAAGCCAGGACCTTCCTTTTAACTTCCCAAGATGGCTGAGGGTTATTTCAGCCTCTGGAATATTTCCTTTCTACCTACAAAAGCCAAGCCTGCCATATTGCTTTTCTTTACAGAAAAGATTTGTCTTCCTAAAGTTGATAGCAGGAAACCTTTAATGAAGGTTACTTATCCACAGCTTTAATTGGGTCTTTTAATGAAAGCTTCAATTCATGTTAATTGGGTTTCTGACCACAGCTAGTTAAAGCACAGCACAGCAGGCTTACAAGTTTAAATTCCTGCAAAGACTTTATTAGAATCACATGGAGGGCTGCTGCTCAAATACTTTTTCCCTTTTAAGATTACCTTTAATCTTTAGTTTCCTTAGAGGCAAGGCAGGGGAGGGGCAACAGCCTAGAGGCCAGCAAATTTCTCATTAGCCCAACTTTATCAGCTTATTTCCACTTTAAAGCCATAGAAAGCTTAAAGTTCTATTACACATTCATCAGCACCACCTGAGGCTTAAGGCCCAAAACATTCTACAGCAACATCTTTTAACAAAATGAGCACTTATAGAATAGGGGTAAGATTTAATCCAAGTTTCTCTGCCATGCATTTCTCGACATGCATTTCTGAGTAGTATTCTTCCATGCACAACAGTTGCAGGATGGGTGAGAATTAAAGACTCAAGACTTTGAATAGGCTAGTCTATTATATCCCCACAGAAATATCAAGGACTCATCCCCATGAACCTAGTCAAGATCAAATGATAGGCCATCTTCAACCCTAGACTATCTGAAACAAATCGTCACTAACACACACTTCTCCAACACATTTATTTTTTTTTGAAAGGAATGGATTTTGAGGAGGAAAAACATGGGGCAGAAAGGTATGGAATAGAAAATAAATACAAATGTAAGCTGTTTTGCTAGTTGTTTTATAACCACAACAAATTAGTACAGAGAATGCCCCGTACAAAACAACACAATAAAGGTTCAAAGATCGAGGTTGTTCCCTTAGGCAAGGCTGAAGAATTCAGTCTCTGGTATTTGGAATTTAGGCTGCAGTCCTTGTTTTTGGATGGATCACTGGGTGTGTGGCACAGTCCATGCTTTTAACCAGATTTGAACAGCAGAATGGCCACTTGGCCCAGGTAGAAGTAGATGAAGTGTTTGGTTTCATGTGTCACATAACTACCGAAGTTCCTCCCCACAATGCAGTGCCAGGTGGGGTTGTACTTCTTGTCAAACTCCTGGGGGGTGGGGGAGAAGAAAAAAAAACACTAGAATTTTAGTGCTAAACCCGAAGTCAGAGTTTGCCTCCTAGATAAGCAGAGCCTGTAGGGGCAGAAAGGAGGAACGTTAGCATCTGCAAATTCTTAGAAGGAAAGAATGTTCCCAAGCTCCAAGTCGCCTACATAGTGCATTAATGCAAACATACTTGCAATCCCCAGCTAAGCTGGGGGCCGGGGAAGTAGAAGGCAGAAAGGGCAGCCTCAAAGACAGGGTGCTTTGTTACCATGGTAATTTCCCCTTCATAACTTCTATAATGTTCTTATTCATTGACAGCAGGTGATCAACAGTTGTAGTTTATCATATTCTTCTGTGTTAACAGAACTATCCTCGTACTGTATGTCATGCACCCCCAAATCCAAGAAAATGATAAATATTTAGCCCCAAATACCCTATAACTCATTCCTTAACTGCACTCCAGTATCCTTGAAACCAAAAGACTTCCAAAAGGACAAAACCTCAATTAGCACTCCTACTATTGTGGATCCAGATTTAAGGGGACAAGATACTTGGCTTTCCACTGTTCCTTTAAGAATGTTGGAAGCAAGATCTGAGCCACCTGGTCAAATTTTATCCTTAATTATGATTTCAATAGTCGTCCTTTCCACATCTGTCCTGATGGCGCCAATCTACCAACTAGTCCACAAGGAGAGCAAACTGCAGGAACAACTTTGCCCTATTTTCCCCACTCGAAGGGGCTCTGGGGACTAGACTGTCTGTGTTGAAATTTCTTCACTAGGTGACTACAAGCAGGCGCTGAAGCGAATCTTTCTCTATAAAATTCTTACACATCCCTGTTGTGAATTTCACAAAATTTGGCTACTCTTATATTGTATGCAGCGTGAACGTGGTTTAAATCTATTAAAGGGAATAACATTCTTACAGGCGAGACGAATGCACTGCTGCGTTTCTCAAAAAAGGTATTTCGGTTCCGTCTTAAGTCTTTTATCTTCCCATTCTCAACTGGAACCCTCCCCGGCTTACGCTGCCAGCTTCCTTCCCTTCCAGAACACACAGCTCGGTGAAGTTGGCAGTCCTGCCAGCTTTCTACAGAGTGCCATTTACCAAGCCCCCACCCCCAGCCCTCAACCACCACTACCACCCACTTTCCCTCGACTGCCGACTACAATTCCCAGTGGAAGGCTGGCAAGATCTCCCTCTGGCCCGGCTGGAAACACCCACGCAGCCCCCCCTTCGGAACACCCAGATGGCTCCTCAGCGCAGGAATCATGCAGAAGGGGGAACCGCTGCTCCCCGATCCTAGAAACCGTTGCTAGGTGGCGCTTTCCCCCGCAGACCTGAGTAATAAAAAAACTTCGGGCGCCGACGATCTGGTCTTCCCAAGAGGAGCGCAAAATTCATTTGCGTCCTTTCTGGAAACCTCTACACCCGAGCTGCCTTGCGTGCCCCCAAGGATCTCGGCCAGGCGCTTCGGGGACGCAGGATCGGAGAGAAGGAACTAAGTTGCGACTCGCCCCGGCTGCGCGCAAACGGCCCGCGCCCCCCGCCCGCGCCCCGTCCTCACCTTCTTAATATGGGCCGCAATGTCCTTCTCTATGTTGTATTTCTCCAGCGCCTGAGTAGCACACTCCACCGAGTCCTGTTGCATCTCCTCCGACATGTCGGCATTTTTGATGACGGCCTTTCGGTCGCACATGGTTACCTGCAGGGCGAGGCCCGGGCGAACAGTGAGGAGTTGGGGTGCAGACTGCGCCTGCGAGGCGCCAGCTCCCCCGGGACGCCCCGCCCGCCCCACGCCCCCCGGGACGACGCCTCCCACCCGACTTCTTCCCAAGAGGCGCGGGCCGCGCGGACCGACGGCGGGGGACGAAACCGGGTAGCGAAGCCCCCCGAAGCCCCTGAGTCTCTCACCGCGGAGCAGGGGATGGCCAACTGCAACGGTCTCCTGGGGGAGGGGCTGGCGAGGCTCAGACTCGGCAGGAGCGGCCCTCGCTAACG